CATAAATTGTACAATGATCTTCTAACACTGAAAAAAAAAACTTGACAGTAACAGTTGACTTTACCCTGCAATGTTTGAATTGGAATCAGCTAAATTATGGCTTGTCAGCTTTGGGTGACTTGGCCATAAACATTATGCTAAACCTCAGCCTTCAGCAAGTAATTAATAATACCCGTGAAAATAGCATCCCGGACCTACTGTTCTTCAGCGAAATATTTTCTGATGGAGTATGGTGGTAGAGTATGGTATATTTTACCACAAGCTGATATGTTTTTGCTGGGAGTTTTGAATGGTAACGCACCAAAATGGTAAAACAATAAGAAAAGTTAGAGAATTCACAAACGCCGATGATATATCTGTCATAGATTACCTACACACGCTTCTTGACATAATTGATAGTGACGTTGCGCTTTTATGGCAAAAATTTTAGGATGTTGTGGAGTACTGCACTGAACACTTTGGACCATTAAAATGTATAAGACAGCAATTAAACAATTCTTGGATAAATAGAGAAATTCTCCAAGCTAAGCGTAAAAATAAAACACCGAGAGAGGAACAAACTGACGACACCACAGTTTGATCAAGTGAAACAAGAATTATTGATAAAAGTAAAGCTGGCCAGAGTAAGGTTCTTTAGCACAAATATTGAAGAATTTCTTCCTAGTGATCCGAGAAAATATTGGTTACACCTAAGTCAAAGAAACCAACAGATAGGGAGCGTTATTAATAATGAAACTGAAATAACGGATGCTCAAAGCATTGCAGAACACTTCAATGCTTATTTTCAGTGTGTGTTTGCTGAACAAGGTCAGACTGAGTATTCAAACACATGTAGCCCTACGACAAATGACATCTTCATCACGCATGAGGGTGTCCTGCACTGCTCCTGAATGTGAAATAAGCAAATCAGCTGGTCTTAATAACATCCTAAATGCTTTTCAAGGCGATATTCTAAAAAATCACTGAATTTCTTTCTAAAATATTTCACTTATTTCACTAAATTTTTTCACTAAATTTTCACACTCGGGGGAAATGCAGGCAGACTGGCGCATGGCTCACGTTGTGCCAGTACACAAGAAGGGAGACCGTGACACAGTTTTGAACTACACACCTTTATTTATTATTAGCACAAGTTGTAAGCTATTGGAGCATATTTTTGCTGGTTGTACACACGGGTTTCTGAAAGAGCACAAAATACTGACACCCTATCAGCATGGATTTCGAAAAAGACTCTCTACGGTGACACAACTAGTAACAACTGTGCATGAATTTTCCCTAGTGCTTGATTTATCCGGGCAACCAGATGTGCTGTTTCTAGACTTTAGTAAAGCGCTCGATAGGGTCCCACATGAAAAATTATTATATAAACTGGCGAAAATTGGACTACCAGGTGGTATAATACTGTGAATTCGTGCTTACTTTACAGACAAACAGCAGTTTGTTGATGTCAGTAACTGCGCTTCTGGTGCCCGACCGGTCACCTCAGGAGTTCCTCAGGACAGTGCGTTAGGGTCATTATCGTTTTTAATTTATGTAAACGCTATTATAAATGTCATTCCTGCAAATACATCTATTTGATTGTATGCGGATGATAGTGTTATTAAAGACGATATTCTTTCTTGGGGACCTTTGACGGAAAAATTTTGGTCTGTCTGTCTCTCTGCCTCTCTCTCTGTCTGTCTGTCTGTCTGTCTGTCTGTCTGTCTGTCTGTCTGTCTGTCTGTCTGTCTGTCTGTCTGTCTGTACATTTGCCCGTTTGTCCGCCCTAACGATACCTCAAACGACACCAAACGGCCAACCCCATTCGCAGCGCCCACCAATATTGCTCAAGGTTTACCATTCATAGTTGTGCGATTGTCAATTAAAAAGAAGCTGTTGCGCATATCTGAGGCGCCATAACAACACTTCAAAGTTCTGTATGTCTGCCTTTACACTAGAAGAGGCACACACAATTAACTCTAAGGAATGTAGCGTTTATCGCGCTGCGCTGACAGTGCAACGCGATGCTCAAGAAGGTGTTTCGAACGCTTTGCTACGACGTCACGGTGGTGGCACCTGCCCGTCGCTTTGCGTTCTACACCATATCACCTCCGAGACTAGCGCGCATCTTTCTCCACGGGTTGCACGCCTTCGTTTTCGAAGATAAGTGCCTTATGGCGCTCGTGTCTAACGTGCCTCGATGCGCTCGTTCGCTTCCTCTACACGCTCGAAGCACTCTAACGCAGCACCTCCAGAATAACCTTCGCAGATTTTCTTGTGCAGAACATCAAATAAACGTTTTGTTCACTCTCTCCAGACGCAAGACTATCGTCTTTTGACTACATTTGCGGTGTAACAGGCAGATTTGGAACCATTTTTTAAGGATGTTGTGTCACATGATGATTATGAAGTGTTGCACGGATACCTTGTGGCAATTTCTCAGTGGTGCACGAGCTGGCATATGAAGCCAAATGCGGAAAATCTGTACTTTTGCGTGTAAAAAAGAAAAAAAAATGTCCCAGTGAATTTCATTATCAACTTCAAAACAGAACAGCAACTGAAGTCGAGAAATACAAGTACCTAGGCCTCACACTTTCCAATAAACTAACATGGAAAGCGCATATTTCAGATATCTGCTCAGCCACCTTAAGTAAACTGCGGTTCGTAAAGAGAAAACCTAAATATGCGCCGGTAATAAGTATAGTATTACCTTGTAATGTAATTGCCAGATCTAAATTAGACTATGCTGCTGAAGTTCGGGATCTGCATACTAAGACTGAAATTCTGAAACTTAAGCAGTTTTGAAGAAAAGCTTTGAGATTTATATACGAAAAAAATGCCAGGCATAATGATCCGCCATAATCCATACCACAAAACGGTTTGCAGACACTACTAACGTGCGGGAAGTTTAATCGTCTCGTACTACTACACAACACTCTTCCTGCGAAAAATAGTTAGGCATTGCCCTCTTCGATTTGCAGACCCACTACAAGGTCAACAAGACACATCCATGAACATTTGCTTGCACCAATTTTCGCTGGAACAAATGCCTACAAGAACACTTTTCCCCCCCGAACAGTGAGCGACTGCCATTATCTACCTATTGAAATTCATGAGCCAGATGATTTGATGCCGCTTTGGGACACCATTGCTTCTGCATTGTATTCGCATGTATATATTTCCTTTTCCTTTGTCTTCTCTATTGTTGTAATGCCCCTCCTACTTGGGATAAATTATTGGCCTGCAGTATTTCTAAACAAAAAAGTGGGTAGGATATCTAAGTTTTGAGCTTGAGGTCCTTGTTTCTAAACGCACTAACATGCAACACGCATACGACGTACAAGACTGCACGAGCTTGACCCTTCACTACAACTCCGTCCTCCACCTGGCCTACATCGACGTGAAGCTTCGCTTCTCTAGCGCCTTTGGCTGGGAGTTGCTTTCACGAAAGCTTATACCTCGTTAATTGGAATTACTGGCCGCGCGGAGTTCGATGTTTTCGGCACCGACGAAAATATCGAACACCTGCTGTGCCACTGTCCTCGATTTGCCTCAGATAGACAAGTACTTGCCAATGCAATGCGGCGACTGTGTGATCGGCCTCTTTCTGTACAGGTGCTATTACAGCAACGTCCACATGCCTCGACAGCCCACAAGGCTGTGAAAGCCCTGCTGTGTTTACTGAGAAAGACAGGCTTGTGTGAACGCATGCGGTAGAGTTCTACGCGCTGCAGTGAAATTACTGTCAGTCTCTCCCCCCTTTTTTCTTTTCCCTCTCTTCCCTCTTTCTCATCTTTCTTGTCCCCTTCCCTAATCCCCCAGTGTAGGGTAGCCAACCAGATGTCTTTCTGGTTAACCTCCCTGCCTTCTCCCTTTTGTTGCTTCCTCTTTAACATACAAAATTCTTTTTTTCACTACGTATTGTGGAAGATACATGTCGCATTGTTTCCGGCCATCAGTGGTGCCCTGGCAGTGCTGCGTGTAGCTCAACAACTAGCCAAACAACCGCACGCGCTTTTTGTCTTCTCTTAATTTTTGTACGATGGCATCCTTCTTCCGGTTAATAACCAATGAACCCTTGTCCCAGCAGAAGCGATGGCACTGGCCCACGGCTACCCTTGGCAATGGCGCCTCTTCAGTATTCAGTCGTTGAAAGGAATTCGCTTTAGGTGACCTATGTTAAGACAGCTTCCACGTTTAGGCGGCATAGAACTGTTTATGAATTTAAAATATCGTCGCCTATTTTCAACAAGAACCACTTTTTGCCATGGCGAATGCCTCTAGAGCATATGATTCGAACCGTCACGGACCTTCTATGTATATTCCACGCCTTAAAGGAAAGCATGCCACTCGAAGTTGTATGACTGTGCTTTACTTATATTTAGAATATAGCATACATAGTTTCCAGTGTTGCACGAATGAATGTGCGCATGGTGATAGAATGGGGCTATAGTATATGAACGGTCGGTCTATGAATATGCTTCTTGTGAACGCACAGCCAAGAGAAACGCAAAAGTGTGTTTTTTGTCACGCAAACATAATCACCATCCGGTTTTCTGGCACTTCCTTTCTTGAAAACATAACTCTCACCACATTGCTATAAAGAAAGCTATCTCACGCTGATAACGTGCATGTTGTTCGAGACCAGAAAGTGCCGGGCGCGCGGGAATAGTGAAAGAAAAAGAACACAAGGTGGATGAGGAATATCTGTGTGGCACAAAGGACACCATTTTTTACTTGTTCTTTTCTTTGCGTGTTGTACAGTGTTCTGACAAAGTAGGTGCGTGGAGAGAGGTGGCCACCAGTGCGATGAAGAAAAAGTCCTGACATGGCAGAAAGCCCGAAGCCATGAACGTGAGCCGATGTTCAGTATAAAATATCATATAACTGTGTAAAGCTTCAGAACACTCGCTAAAATATAGAGCTTTTAACTCGATGCAGGGTCAGTATTCCGGAATGTTGGATGTCAGCGTTACCAAAAGAAGTTTAGTTGCATTACAGAATACCACGTATCACCTTACCATTGGTTCCTGTCACATTGAGTGCGGCACCAGTGGCATCAAAGGAATTCTTCATAATCAAAGTCCCATTTAATTGCGTGGTCTTTTGGCTGGAATAGGAAGTAGAAGTCATCGGGAAGAAGAACAATGAAGGAGTATTCAACGGGGCAGTAGAACAACCAAAAACACTTTGTGCTGCAACATGAAAAAAATAACACTTATAAGCACTGATTTAACTAATTCTACTAAGAGAAGGTAGCAACATTTATAAATGTAAAACAAACGATATAAATGCTAAAGAGCCACTGGTTCTGAGTGTAATTTGTCGCACATGACTCTATGACGCGCGGCCATGCTGCATACTGTGGCAAAAAAATCTGGTTGGTTTTGACCACGAGGCTTCTTACTGGCATACTGTTGGGTGAAGAATTAGTTGGTGGTAGCTCGTAGCTGAACATTTTAAATGTGAGGATAGCTGCTAGCACTGATCGCTGAATATCGTATACACGTAGTCATATGACGTGCGTTGCAAAAAGGCATCGCTTTGTAGCTTTTTTTACCGAACTGCATTACCCAGCGTGAGTTCATTTCAACATTTTCGGCGCTGTACACTCATAGCGAGGGAAAATATTCCTGATACTTGTCTGTGTATACGCTGGCTCAAACCTGCTTGGCTTTCGTAAGTGTTGTCACTAGTGTGTAAGGAAACATAAACAAAACGTATATGTACATTTAATTATATTAGTGGCCAACACACCAGGCTTTGTTTGAGCTTTTGAGCAAATATGACGCCATGGGAATATCACAAATAGATGAGGTCAATTGCAGTTAAAGGAAGATAAGGCAAAGAATAATGAATCACTGTGTTGAGAATGGTGAAGTATTTTGTGTCAAACTGTTCTCGGCTCAGTCGCTGCGACATGCAAATAAAAGAAGGGGGAAATAGGTGTTGTTTGTAGTTAGGTTTGTGACATAGATTCGGGTGAAATATAAATGAATAGTAGAAAAATACAAATACAAGTCAATATAATTGAGAAATAAACAGATAAAAATGAGAAAGAGAAGTTTGGAGAGAGAGAGAGAGGAAGACACATAAATCACCAAGGGAAAAATACGAGAAGTTTCCTTGTCACTCTAAGCTAAGCGCAGCCAAAAAGGCACATTCTGTAGCAAAACCTGGTTAAAACGTAACGTAACCTATCAACAAAACAAAGACAAGCAGAAACGAGTGACATCATTGCAGCAATCAGCACAGAGAAAGAGAAGGTTAGACAGATAGTTAAAAAAAATAAACCCAGGCGAAAAACACGAAAATACAGGGCAATGAAAAAAAAAACAAGTAGAGGAAGAAAGAAATACGAAGAAAGAAGAAAGCGCCGCTTCATACTTCCTCCAGACTTGGCATTCCTAATTGTAAGTTTCCACTTTTTACCACAAAAGCTTCTGTAAGATCAGACCAATGGCCGTTTCCACTGCCGTAGTTTAGAAAAAGATGCAATTCTCAAGAGAACACGACTGGAAGAGAAACTCTGTATGCTAACACAGAGTTACGCTGGTTCTTGAAAATTCTCGACAAACAGAAACCATGCGCGCTTCTTGTCAGGGAAGAAACGGCGTTAATAATTGAAATAGAGTGTTTTAGAAAAGTAACATATCAACAAGTGTCATATAATGCGAATTGCGCACCAACTTTAAACCTGTGCGCAATGCCATGAGCGCATGCACAAAGAACCATGGGACTTCTCTTCGTGAACTTCAGAGTGAAGTTCAGTCGTTGTTTGGGACGCGTGCTGCTTAAAATCGCTTAGCTCGGCTTAGCTGCACATTTGAACGAACGTTTTGAAAAGGCGAACCATAATTTTTCACGGCAATTGGCCACAGCATCAACAAAGTGCACATAATTCCTTACAGGTATGTAGCGGGTACCCCGCTCCATCGAAAAACCAATAATGGCGTAGTGGGCGCTTCCGTGATTCAGAAAAAAAAAACATGGTTGATCACTCAGTCTGACGAGTTGGTATTACACGAAAGTAAAACGCCTCTTTAAGAACGTGTGTAGCGCTTACTGTACATTCATGTAAGAAAGCTTATACTATGTTCGTTAATGTTTGACAGCTATATTTAGGTACCGTTTTGAGTAAATACATTCACGTTGATGCTTAACAATTACATATCCATCCCATCGATTCAAGTCTATGAATAATTAATCAATGACTAAACATGCCCTTGCGCTTATGGATGCCCGTGGAAGCTCTGTTCGTCAGTGGTGAGAGTGGATTCAACAAACTATTAGCATTAACAGTACTTATGCTATGAAGCAGTTTTTCTTCTAGTAAGCACAAAACAGTCATGACCACGCCGCTCTTCCAGGTGTTACTACAGCGACCGCACCCCCCTCCTTCCCCGCTAAAGTGAGTGACTGGGTTCCTCCTCGTCTCATGATTTGCGTAACTTTGCAGTTCCTAATGCATCATGACACCAGCTTTCAGGGACGTACATTCTTAGATCAATAAAACTATAAAGTTGCATTTCCAACATGGAGAAATTACAGGAATTGAAATGAAGGGCTTGGTCATTTTTGAAGAGGAGATGGGCTGTTTTTTCAATTCCGAAGAGTTATTAACAGGAATCGACTTCCTAGAAGACTTTATTCTCCGAAAAAAAATTGAAATGAAATAGTGGTGCATATTCCGCAACACTGCCTTGGACGTATTTCACACTGCATTCCTTGGAACTTTCACAACTGTCGTGCTTAAGGAAAGGGCGCAAAGCCTGCTGGAAATCCGTGTTTTGCTATCAAAAGAGAACGCCCAAATGTAAACTGAGGATAAGACTTGCCTCTTCCATCACGCCGATACCGCTATGTCTGACGAGAAGGAGCTCTGGTTCCTGATGCGAGAATGTGAGGAGTCAAGCAAGGGCTGTTTGCGGGACTTGTCCACAATCCACTCAAGTTCACTGAAGAATTCTTTCCAAGGCCAAGACTACATAAAAGACGCTTGACAGGCGTACCAGGCAGTAGAACCGCCACCTTCAGACTACCAACTACGCCGATGTTCCCCGAGGACCTGCGCAATACCCTTACGGTGATCATGCGGGAGCAGCTGCGCAACTATTTATTTTTTAAATAAAAATGATGAAATAGGAGAGGGTGGTACTGTTATGGTGGCACCAGATACTCCTTTTCTCTTAGTAGACAAGATACGCCGTAAGATAAACAATGAGGGCACAAATTGCGAGACTGTACAGCATATATACTATGTGAAAGTACACAATAGCTAAACGTCACAGGTCAGTTCACATCCGGCTAATAGGTTCACATGTTCCACACACAAGGTCAGTTCACATCACATGATAAATCAAATACACCTTTCATATTCTTGTTTACACAGTTTCCACACAAGGTCAGTTCGCACTCATTAAAAGAAATACACATATGAGACATGCTATCTAAATATTACACATTTTTTTTTATCATGAAGGTGACATCGCATATAGGATAATATCTCCCCCAAATGTTTGATTCTTCAAAAAACTTCTTGAAGGCGGCAAGCGCTCTTTTCTGAAGACCTGCAGTTGGCCATGGACCTAGTCGATTGTCACTGTGAAGGGCCTCCTATCTAAAAGTTGCAAACTTGCTCGTAATACTTTTAAGTGTGAATACACTTTATAAGCGACCCCAAACCATCCACCGCCGTCAGCGGCGTCCGCAGTCTTCTCTCTATCTTTAAAAGAAAGAGGACTTGGCGGGCCGCAGCGCGACGCTCTACCGAATAAGCCACGGACGCGACGCTGATATCGGTGTCAGTAACGCGCCTTATACCCCCTCCCCCTTCGCTCGCTCCTCCGCTCTCCTCGCTCGCTGCAGCTGCGCGCGCACCCCTCTCTCTCGCGCGCCCGCCTTCTCTCTCAGTCTCCCGTCGAGAGCGGGTCGTGAGGGGGGAGTAAAGTTAAAATCCGTTGGCATTCGCCAGTGAGTTAACGTAAACTCCCCCGTGTGATCAAATTGCGATTTCCATGAACCATTACACCATAAAGGCACCATAGTGTGATTAATAAATATAATAGTGCGAATGAATAAATACCCCTCATAGCATCACCCCGTGTATTCGCACTTAACCATGTTCACCCTCGGGGAAATGCTTGGGAGTTTTTCTTGGGTCTCATTTTAAATTCGAAACATTTCTTGGCGAAATTCGGTGATTTTAAGCGTATCTATCTATCTATCTATCTATCTATCTATCTATCTATCTATCTATCTATCTATCTATCTATCTATCTATCTATCTATCTATCTATCTATCTATCGCCTACGACTTTTACCTCTCCAGGCCGTTTGATAATGGTATTGAGACCAAACTTGGTATGATATAATACGACATTATGACAAACATAACTGAGTAGTCATAACATGAAAATCATAAATTGTATGTCATAAATGTCATGATTTACATGTCCAGGTCTTGCTGAGGTTGCGGTGGTTTCATTCACATGATATGTTGTAAAACTGGTATGGTATGACACGGCTGCATGGCGAACACAAGCGACAGAACCTAGCATCAAAATCACGACATGCGTGTCATGTAACAACATGACTACATGCCACACTCCCGATGTGCTCGCGGCCGTTTCGCTAGCTTTGCATATATCGAATTTGGTATTACGGGACGTGAATAGATGACAAAGGTATGGGACTGGTGCAAACATGATAATCATGAGATGTGTGTCATGTAACAAAATGACTTCATGCTATTCTCATGATGCGTCCGCGGCCATTTCGCCAGTTCCTCATGAACCAAATTCGGTATTACGGGACGTGAATGGATGATGAAGGTAAGTGACTGGTGGAAAGATGATAATCATGAGATGCGTGTCATGTAAAAACATGACTACTTGCGGCGCTCATGATGCACTCACAGCCATTTCGCTAGCTTCACATGTACCAAAATCGGTATTATGTGACGCGAATGGGCGACAGAGGTAAATGACACGTCCAACTATAATGATAACGACATGCGTGTCATGTAACAACATGACTACGTTCTACACTCCTGACGCGCTCGCGGCCGTTTCGCGACCTTCACATACGCCAAAATTGGTATTACGTGAC